AGAGAGAGGTGGGGAGGGGAGAATGAAGAGGAGGAGGAAGGAAGAAGAGGAGGAAAAGGAAAGGAGGAAAGGAGAGGAGAAGGGAGGAAAGGAGAGGGTAAGGTGCCGGGGGAAAGCAGAAGAGAGGAAGAAGGGAAGGGAAAGGGAAATATTGAAGTAAAAGAAAGACATTTTGTCTGTCACTTCCTGTTTTCTTCCTTCTTTCCTTAATTCCTTCCTTTCTCTTCCCTTCCTTTCTTTCTATTTTATTGGTCATGTAAACCTACCACTTTGATTAAAAAGTATTACTATAGGGCTGGAGAAATGGCTCAAGTGGTACTTAGCACACACAGACCCTGAGTTCAAATCCAGTATCTCCCCCAAAATGGTGTTGTTGGAACTGCGTGGCAGAAAACAGCACTGGCTTGGGCACACAGAGCAGCACACACAAGTGTTGGCTGCTACCTAATGCCCACAGCTCAGTCCTGTCCTGGGGCTAGATAACATGCAGCCACCACACATACACCCCTTCCTGGACAGAATGAACCAAAATACTAAGAGCTGAGACCATCTGGCTTTGGGAGGAAAGTGGAATATGGTGAGAGGTAAGGACTAAGTCCTCAAGGAAGGACTTGTCACTGAGATCAGGCAAGGGGCTCTGCTGGGCCTGCCTTCTGCCACAGCTCCAATTCCAGCTTGTGTTTTTGGTGGCTAACTGGACATAAGAGTCTTACAGACTTCCCTGTCCAGATTGGCTTTGAATCACCACCCTCAGATCTTAGTCTCCTGAGTAGCTAGGATTACTGGCATGAGCCATCAATGCCTGGCTTTTTGTTGTTGTTGTTGTTAGTCCTGGGGCTTGAACTCAGGGTCTGGACACTGTCCCTGAACTTCTTTTGCTCAAGGCTAGCACTCTACTGCTTGAGCCACAGCACTCCTTCCAGCTTTTTCTGTTTATGTGGTACTAAGGAATCAAACCTAGGGCTTCATGCATGCTAGGCAAGCACTCTACCACTAAGCCACATTCCCACCCCATCTTGACCTTTGGTCACCCGAAGGTGGCTCTGTTTTTCAGAATTATAAATGGAAGGCAGCCTCCTCCACTGATTCTTTACTGATTGCCCTGTTTATAAATTCAAATGGCACCTTACTGATGTAACTGTAACCTCTCTGTACAGCATCTTTACAAGAAAATGAAATTTTTAAAGATTCAGGCAGTAATTATATTTATATAACATTTCAAAGAACTTACAGATATGTTACCTTGCTGGAACCCATTTACTATCCCAGGAAGGGACATTTCTTATATACTAACACCGTAACTTAATTAGCTTTCCTAAGATGGGTAAACAAAACCGGAGGGAATGAACCTGCCAATGGCACATGTGGATGGCCTTGGGGACATTTAAACCAGAGCCAGGCCAGGCCTGACTCAGCAGGGGAGGTACCATTGTCCACCCCCACTGCCACACCCGCACAGGTGCTGAGGAGGGGTGAGGGACAGGTGGGAAGGACAAACGTCAACCACTCATGCTTTTGCATGGGGCTGTCCTGGAAACGGGAATGAAATGCCCTCGTTGGTAGTGCCACATCGACTCATCCCAAGCCAAGAACTCGTGTCATTTCCTGAAGAGACAACTTGGATGTGCCCCAAAGCTCCAACAAGCTTTTCAACCACCAGAATCCTGCTTATACCACACAAGAAACGTTTATTTTTGAAACACCCATCACAACCTCCCTTTTCATGCATTAGCACAGCCCTTCAGTAAGGCAGCTAGGACAGAGATGCTGAGGAATTCACCCCTGGAGCCCCGTTGGCTTTCCTCTCTAAGCCTGAGATGGAATGCACTTTTGAGGACCCAGGGCAACCTCTTTCTCTGCTTCTGAGCCAGGCTGTTGTGTTCTGCCTCCCAGACCTACCCTGCCCTGGATTGGTGGCTGGACAGGCACTATCCCCTCCCTCTGGGCGGGACATGAGTAGAGTTTGGATTGTGATGGTTCTTGTCAATCCAAGCATTTTTAGAGTTGCCTAGAGAGCTTTAAAAAACCAAGGCTTGTCCTCCCAACCCCTTCCCCTCCTCCAGGGATTCTGATTGGATCTGTGGGGTAGAGCCCAGCATGGATGTTTTAAAAAACTGTTCTCCAATCCAACCACCCTTGAGGTAGAGATTTCCCTGAAGACTACATAGTCTAGGATTCCCTGTCATGTCCTTGAATTTTTTTCTTTTTCTTTTCTTTTCTTTTTTTTTTGAAGGGGGGGAGGGCGTCAGTCATGGAGTTTGAACTCTGGGCCTAGGTGCTGTCCCTGAGCTCTTCAGCTCAAGGTGAGCATTCTACCACTTCAGATACTTCCGGTTTTCTGGAGGTTAATTGGAGACAAGAGTTTCACAGACTTTCCTGCCGGGGCTGGCTTTGAACTGCAATCCTCAGCTATCAGCCTCCTGAGTAGCTAGGATTATAGGCGTGAGCCACTGGCACCCGGCTGTGCACTTCATTTCTTAAACTGATTTTTTCCCCCCCAAATCACTCCTTTTGTTGTCATGCTGCATAGGCTGACTTAATTATAAAAAGGACTATATTAGCTAGGTGCTAACTAATCCTAATTACTCAGGAAGCTGAGATCTGAGGATCATGGTTCAAAGCCAGCCCAGGCAGGAAAATTTATAAGACTTTGATCTCTAATTAATCACACACACACACACACACACACACACACACACACACACACACACACACACACACACACACACACACACACACACACACACACACACACACACACACACACACACACACACACACACCAAACCTGGGGACAGTGCAAAAACCTTGAGTTTGAGCTTAGGATTTAACAAAAAAGACTATATTATTAAAGTATTGTTTCTTGAAGTAACTTGATATTATAGCACATGTACTAAGTGTGCAACTTGCTACATTTTCACATATGATTACCAGAGTCACAAGAATGAATATATTATGTCCATCACTCCCAAAAATTTTCTTCTGCCCCCAGAAACCTCCTCAAGTCTCAACTTGCTTTTTTCCCATGCCCTTCTCCAGGTAAAACTGATCTACCTTTTTCTTCTTTTTATTTTTTTATTTTACTTATTTATTTTTTTTGGGTCCGTTCATGGGGCCTGAACTCTGGGCCTGGGCACTGTCCCTCAGCTCTTCAGATCAAGGCTAGCACTCTACCACTTGAGCCACAGCGCCACTTCCGGCTTTTTTCTTTTTGCTTATGTGGTGCTGAGGAATCCAACCCAGGGCCTCAGGCATGCAAGGCAAGTGCTCTACCACTGAGCCACCTTCCCAGCCCCTTTTTCTCCTTTTTAAATGTGTGTGTGTGGGGGGGGGGGGGGGGGTAACAGGGCTTGAACTGTTCCTGAGCTTTTTTGCTCAAGGCAGATCTCTACCACTGAAACCACAGTTCCACTTCCGGCTTTTTTTAGTTGTTAATTGGAGATAAGAGTTTCACTTTTCTGCTCAGGCTGTCTTCAAACTACCATCCCCAGATCTCAGCCTACTGAGTAGATAAGATTGCAGGCATGAGCACAGTGCCCATCCTTCCTTTCACTATGCATGCTTTGCCACTTCTTCTATAGGTGCAATTATGCAATACACCACTATTTCTTGCCTGGCTTCTCATCAATCCTTAGACTTTAGAATTCAGTCTCTTTGAGACCCACTGTCTGAGGGTCACTATTTACTTTTACACGACCTCCAGCTTTTTGTTTTCATATTGTTTTGGAGAGATGGTCTTGCTACTTTTGCTGGGACTGGCCTTGAACTTAGGGATCCCCTCATCTTTGCTTCTTGATTAGCTGAGATCACAGGCATTCAACCCCATGCTCTGCTCATGTTAATGGTTTTAATTTTCCACTATTTCTCATAACTTTCTCAGAGGCTTTAGGCTAGTTAAAAAACCATTAGACATAATCTTAAAAACAGGAGTGTTAAACTTAGCATCTGCGGTCTTCCCAAGGACTTGCAGAAAATGAGCCTCGGGCAGTGTTCAGGAAGAAAGGCTGAGGCAAATACCTAGGAAAGGTCCTGGGTTTCCATCAGATTCTTAATCACTAGATTCTTGACCCAAACATATCGATTAATGTTGTGTTCTCTTCTTTTAATGACCTCTGCATTTTATGAATGTGAAGTCTAGTTACAAATCTTTGCTTCCATTCACCCTTTCTTCTCTCCCCATCTGCCCAGGACCCTGTTTTATTCTTTGCTTGCCCTGGTTTTACTTAAATCTATGAACCTGCATACACTGCAGGGCACTGTCCACTTCATCTGAACGCTTGGCATTCCTTTTCAAGACCCTGTCCTCTGAGCAACATGATGGCATGTTGTTCCTTTTTATTCAACACCTTCTCTTCCACTTGCCAGTCTACCCTGTGGTTCCCGCAGAGCTCAAAAGTTACAAACCTCACCATCTTCAAAACCCCAGAGCAAAGGATTTCCTTTTATCTCAAACCCCATCAATGTTTTTGCTGTTATAAACACAAGAGAACAAGTAGCAACCAGAAATAACTGTGCAAATTCAGAATCCAGCCACCGTTGTTCAATCCAAGTACTTCTTATCCCTCCATCAAAATACAACAAATACAATATTTTAAACACTATTCTGTCTAATCTGAGCTTCAAAAGCTGAGCTGCAGAGTGGGGCTTTGAAATGCTCCGTAATATGTTACCCAAGTGCCAGTTACAAACCACCTTTCAAGAGAAAAAAAAGATAAACAACACAAGGCCAAAAGGCCAACATGGACTCAGCCTGAGCCCCAAGTTTATCTGAACCCCATGCAGCCTTTTTTTTTTTTTGTTTTTTTGCAGAGGGTCAGGTACCTTATACCCAGCAGCATTCTGTGGCTCCTTGCTTGGGAGGGGGGGGGGTCAGCTTTGCATTTTTATCTTCCCCCTTTTCCCTGCCCTGCCTTCCAACAGAATTCAAATGCAGTAACTATTGTAGCAGTTGGGAGAAGTTTGCTCTGTGCATTCAAGGCAAACCTGCCAGAGGTACTTACGTGGAAGCAGCAGAGGTGAGCCCTGGGTTTGGGAATCTGCGAATGCTGATGCCAGTTTAAATAGCTGGGCCGGGCTGACGCTGCTGATAGCAAGTCTGTTTACGCCTGGGAGTGCAGCTCAAGCAAGGACCTGAAAAACCTGCAGCGTGGGCAGGACGCGCAGGAACGACTGAAAGTCTGCAGCGGCTCCCTCCCTCCCTCCACCCTCCTGGTTACACAGGTTTGATATTCAGGCGGTAACTTCTGAGTCTCATGGAACTTTCTCATCACCTTCCCAGCCCTATCTTCCCTGCGTAGCCAAGCCCGACTTTTCAGTCACACTGGAAAGAAGATGCAATTGAGAAAAGAAGGGTAAGGGCGATCATCCCTGGTCCCTCTCCTGGGCCTCCTTCCCTGGGAGCAAGGCTTCTGTCAGATGCTGCTGTATTTTCAAAACTAGGTTTCCATGAGGTTGATTTTGGTTGATTTCCCAGTTCTGCAAGGCGCTATGCCAAGTGAAGTGCCTCGACCACTTCCTGATTCATGAAAAGCTCTTTGCCTTCGGACACAGGATGTACAAATAAGGAAGAATTGAAGCAGAAAAAGGCCAGACCAATTTTAAGTCCCTTTGCAAACAATATTTTCATTCCCACCTTCTCATCTGTACTTTCTCCTCCTCTTCCTTTTGCTAATGAAATTCTTCTGTCAGAGTCGAAAGATTCCCCACATAGGAACGCCAATAAAAAGACAGTGTGTGAGCAGCTGGTATGTGAGAGAGCGTTCAGGACCGATGGAGGTGTTTCTAAAAGGTGAGAATGTGGGTGTGAGGACCAGAGGGTGGATGTTTATCTTGATTTTATTAGCTAGATAGGGCAGTTTCCTAGTCCTCTGCTCATAGTGAGTATGATCTGGAAGGGGGGTCGGGAATGAAAGGGAGGCAGGGTTTGGTGAGATCATTTATGGCAGTATCTGTGTACATTTGTCTTTATGTAGCACCAACTGGTAAGGACCACTCCAACATCATCCACACCTTACAGTGTTTGCTTCACGGGAGAAAGGCAGAAGCCTAATCTCTTGGGAACAGGAGTGGTAAGGGACAGAAAAGTCATAACCACTCAGAGGATTTTTTTGAAGGTAGGCGTGGTGAGCAATAAAACATATACATAAGCTATTGCACCTGATGACAGGGATTCCTTTGGTGTCCACCTAGTCATGGTCTCACTTCCAGCTGTCCCATTGCCACATCTGGATTCATTGACATTAGGATCTATGTCATAGTCTCCCCGCCCCCACCCCCCACGTTGGTACCAGTATACAGATTTGAACTCAGGGCCTTGTGCTCTTGCTCTGCTTTTTCCCTCCAGGTTGAGCCATGCCTCCAGTTCTCACCTTTTGCTGATTAATTAGAAATAAGAGTCTCTCAGATTTATTTACCTGAACTGGCTTTGAACTATGATTCTCAGCCACCTGTGGCTAGGGTTACAGGCATGAGCCACCAGCACCCAGGTCATGTTCACCTTTTGATACATGCCTGGGGAGAGTTGTGATGATGATGATGAAGATGATGCTCTCGTTTGTAGGGGGACTTTGTGGCAAGCTTTGTGCGGAGCACTTCACTCGCGTGTTAAGACTTCATAGCAACACCATAAATTAAATTCCTTTAAAACATTTCAAAGAGAGACCCAGAGGAAGTAGAGATCGAGTGGTAGAAGGCCATCCTTAAGCAAAAGAGCCAAGCAAGAGTGTGAGGTCGTGAGTTCAACACCCAGTGCCAACACACACACACACACACACACACACACACACACACACACACACACACACACACACGAGATAATCAGAAAGAGGAATAACTGTCTGAAGGCCACTGTGAGTAATGAAGGCAGAATTTGAATCCAGAGCTGTTTGAGTTCAGAGTCTTGATTTACCCTTAGGACTAACAAACGACTACTTTAGAAAGTTGCCTTCAGATGATCTCTTTATCCTTGTTTGCCATTTGCCTTCCAGAATGTGATTTCCCTTATCGCAGTGACTGGGTCTCTTTCATCCGCTCTTTGTGACCCCAGCATAGTAGGTGCTCAATAAGAAAAAAAAAAAAGTGCTATTTGTTTAGTTTCTAAATTCCTCTGGAAACCATGCAATCCAGAGAATTTGACAACAATGGAGTCTCCTGGCGGTTCAGGCACATTTGTTTTTGCCCTGGTATAATGTATCAGCTTCAAACTATTTCTCTTTAATCAGGAAGTGAAACTAAAAGTGGGTGGAACAAGAGGATGCATCACTTAAGAACTCTGCAGGTAGGGGTTCTGGTCCTTCAGGGTACAGTGCTGTCACCAAGACCCTGAATGTTTCCCTTTTACTTTGTAGCTTTCACAGGCTGGTGGCCTCCCCTCCCCTCACAGCTCCGTACAATGTGTCCTTAGACAAAAGTAACCAAACACAGGCAAGGAGCGGAATGTGCTTCTGCTTAACGCTCAAGTATCTCTCTTTATGAAAATCTTTCCAGAAGCCACCTGCAGCCTCTCACTTTGTCTCCTCTCTGAGAGCTCGGACAAATAGCCACACACGGGCTAAATCTGTTACTTGCGAAGAGGACAGGGATCAGCTCCATCACTGCTCACCTCCAGGAAACCAACGGAGGGAGTCACATTTTCCAGATAAATGAGGGTTTAGTTAACGTGGAAGATGAAGGAAGTACCAAACAGTTGTCAGTCTAGGAAATTGTTGAAGTGCCAGCTTCAATTACTGTAGCACAGCACTTGGACACTAGTTCAGGCCATGACTGTCTGGATTTCATTTCACCAGTTTCTCCCTCCTTCCCTCCTTCCCCTCCCCTTCCCTTTGTTTCCCCTTACTTTCTTTATCTTCCCCTTCCTTCCTCCATCTGTCCCTCCCTCTTTCCCTCCGAAATCCTTGCTTTGCCTGTAAGCAAAATTAAAACACTGCCACCCACGTTCAAACGAGACTCCACTGCAGCAGATTCTTCTCTGTGGCTTAGAGCTAGATCTGCACACCACCCTGGCTTCTGGAAACTAGTCAATGTGCAAGCCTGGCTTGCGTCTTCTAGATCAGATGGAAGTAGTCATTCTTTTCTTCCTGGTGTTAAAAAGCTTCCATTGAACACCTGCCAATAGGTCATTAGGGTCCTCCTGTTTGCTCTTATAGACTTCTTTTTTTCTTGCTGTGGATATTTGGAACTCTTTTCTTTGTGTTCACAGATTAAGAGAAGTCAGGTGTGGGGTTGTTCGTCTGTAATCCCAGCACTTAGGAGGCTGAGTCAGGAGGATCAAGACATTGAGGCCAGCCTAGCCTACATTGTGACATCCTGTCCAAAAAAAAAAAAAAGAAAAAGAAAAAGAAAAAAGCTAAAGCCAACAAAACAAAACTACATCAAGAGAAGTGAGAGTAAGGACAGGGTAGACTTCATGTTAGGCTCCACACAAGGGAAGGGTGCCTGGGAAATGGTAGACTTACTACCTCTTTGCTGTGAAGTGGTAGAAAGGAGGGAATGTGGAACTGGCCTTTTGGATCATGATATGGGTTCAAGTCCCACCACTTCTGTTTATCAACAATCTTAAATGTAATATTGGTCTCATAGTTTGTTGTAAGGACTAAAGAGAATATATATACATTCTACTGATTATATATTTTTTCTTTTTTCTTCTTTTTCTGAACAAGGTCTTGCTATGTAGCTCAGGCTACCTAAAGATGATCCTGACTCAGCCTCTTGAGTGCTGGGTTTACAGGTGTGTACCTCCATGCCTAATATTTAAAGCACTTACCAATAAACAGTAGCTATTGTTGTTACAACCAAAATCAACCTTAGTCATCTTTTTAGCAGCTGAGGCAGAAACCTTTAGGAACAAACTCCTGCGCAATGCACTTTCAAGATGTCCTTTCCTCGATTTTCAGATAAAATTCCACTGCAGAAGCTGAGACATTCCAGTTCACCATTTTAAACGTCTGAACGTGGCCCTGAGCTAACATAGAAAAGCGTCTTTTCTATCAAAGTAGTTTGCTTCCTTTCTGTTAATCTTGAGAGAATTGTTTTCTGAAGGGTTCCTGCTATGGCCCAGTGGCTTGGCCCTTGTTAATTTTCGTTACATACAGCCATTTTAGTTATATACATCCTTTTCCTGAGCACTTTAATTAAGACATCCTGTTAGAAGCTCCTTGAACTTTAATTACACCCTGTTAATTAAGCCACATCTTTTGCAATTCTGTTAATGTGAGCAGAGGGGCGGGACCTGCTGGCTTAGGGATACAAAAGGGAGCAGCCTGCCTGCTTGTGTGCTTGTGTGCTTGCTTGCCAGATTTTGGGCTGATGGCACACCCTTCTGCAGAAGTAAACTTTGCCTTGCTGCGTTCCTTTTGAGTTGGTGTCTTTATTCCTACACAACACGCCAACATCATAATCTTTTTCTAACAGCTAAATATGCCTCAGCACATGTCTGCTGTCTTTCCTCCTTCAGTCATGACTTTAAACTTGAGCATGTACTCCTTCACTGAGCATGCCCAGGAATGTGCCCTCCCCTAAAGCCTTTTCCTAGATGAATATGCATAGGGTCCCTGAGTAAAATCCCAGTGCCGCCTTTATTTGGGAAGGGGATTGGCTTGGACATAAGTCCTATGCTCCTCTAACCTGCTGCAGATACCAAATCATTCTCTGCTGCCTTATTCCTTGGCCCTGCTTGTCTTGACTTGGTGTTCACCAAGATGTGAAACCATTGTGTTTATGTTCTCTGTGGAGCCCATGCAACAAAATTTAATTACAAAGCCCTCATTCTGCAGTAGACAGGGGCACTGGGGAAGCCACAGGGAAGGCAGTTATGACTGAGTATGGGTGCAGCTATTCTCCTTCTACCCAAAGCGACAGGTCATTCAAGCTCAGAAAGCTAATCTAGAGTAGGGAATGTGTGGAACGGAACAGTGGGGCAGAGGAAGAGAGAAGACATCCCTGAGGGACATAAAAACAAATCTCCATTGAAGGACACAGCCCTCCCAAGGGTCCCAGTGTGACTGGCATTGAAGCAAACAAGGAAGAGACAGGACAGAAGCATCCTCCCAGTGAGCTTGCCCCCAGGTGAGGAACTTGCAGGCAGAGAGGCGGGAGCTGTGAGTCGTTGTGGAGACTTTTACTCACAAGGGCCCTTCCTGACCTAAACTGGATGGGATTGGAAAAATCAAGAGAGAAGGAGATGCCAGAAGGAGGATGCCAGCTGGCTGAGGATGAAGATGTATTCCTTGGTTCCTTCTGGAAGGGAAGTTCTCAGTTCCCTGGTGAGATGGAAGCGGAAGTTCTCACAGAACGGCACTTTGTGTTCTGGGAGATTGTTGTAGACAAAGCACTGACCCCATCAAGCTTCACTCCGGGAGTGGATGCAATCCTATTATTGTCCCCTCTTGTAACTGCTGGTTGTCTTGTAGAGTCCTAAGTCGGTTGAGGGCATGAATTAAAGAATTCATTGCAGAAGGTACTGGGTAAGAGGTGAAGGCTGTTCTACCTGGGCTGGTCCATAGTGAGTTCACTCTTAAAAATAAGGTAATCCGTGGCTGGACACTGGTGGCTCACATCTGTAATCTAATCCACACAGGAGGCTGAGACCAGAGGATCACAGTGG